AAAAAGGCTTTGATTTCGTAGTGGCCAGGCTAAAGAAAATCTTTGAGTCTCCAAAAATAAGAAATATGGCACGACAAAAGCTCATGAACTGCAAACAGAAAGAGGAAAAGACTGTTACGAGTTGTGCTGAGAGGATAAGAGCGGTTTGGTCAGCCACTATAGGACTGAGTGAGCAGACTTACAAGGGAACATTGATGGGCCATTTCATCACCGGTTTAAATAAAAGTATTAGATTCTTCGCCCAAAATGTAGAGCCCAGTACTTTTGAAGAGGCTCTACTCAAATTTCAACATCTTGAAAGTTCCATCACATTATGAATGCGCTTGTATCAGCTGATATTACTGAACGGCTCACACCTACTAGGGACGCAAATAGGATGCGTGCGACCGTAGAAGTTCAGGAGGAGCTGAATGAAATTAAAGCAGAGTTGAGATCTTTGGCTAGACAATCGGCACAAAGAGGCCAGGAACGTCTGCCAAATCCAATACAATATAGACCACCAAAAGATCGAAGTCGTCACCCGTTAAGCACCAACTATTATGATAGAAACCTAGTCCATAAGGGACACAGATATGGGAGACATTATAATAGGCGGCCTTTCTGTACCTATTGTAAGAAAGTGAGACATCTAGAATATGACTGCTTTCATCGACAGCCACCATCATACCTAGTCCTTCAACAACGCCAACAGAATTTTCATGCTAGAAATCCGCAGCAGCCTTCTCGAAAACGCTTTAGAAATGATGCATGCATGCCAGTTCGAAATTCCTTTGAATATAATCCAGGTTTTGGGAACGCAGCCAGAGTTCGGTATCCAAGAGCAGCAATAAACCAAGTGGCAGGCCAAGCAATAAATGCGTTTCGTACGGGTAGCAAAAATCACACGATGCGCGAGCAGTGAGTTATATGCCCACTATGTCGAATAACAACCTAAATGATTTCAGTATGGGTGGACTAGACCCAGTAACAGTTCAGAGTGAATTGCGTACCAGTGTTGGTACAAAAGCGGCGGAGATACAGTGCCTATCTTTATAGTATGAAAAGGCCCAAAAATACCAGAAAGAAAGGAAGGTGCGAATGGATTTGAACGCCCCAACCGTAACATGATCATGCTTCTCGCTGTTTTTTTCCACGCAGTTCTGTGTTCGTGGTGCAAATTGGTGCCTCGCATGTTCCTGAACGTTCGCTCGCTTGTCGTTTAGCTCCAACACATGTTTATTGGAAGCTACCTGAAATACCCACGTGTCCAAAACTTAATACTAGTGTTCATACTGCTTTGGAAAAGTCACACTAACCGTCTTTAGATCAAATACGTTAAGGTACAATACAACTACTTTTGTCTGCCGGATCGGTGCGAAAAAAATCTTTTACTACACGAACATTATAAATGATAAATTTCATCGGCAAGAAGTGCAAAATCATGCTTTATCTACCAGTGACTGCAGGACAATGGTTTTTCGCAAAGTATATAAATTTGTGCTCTCGTTTTTAAAGGGGAAATATATCAGACCGAAAAGAAATTGAAGTTTGAGTACCCATATCCCTTTCTTGGGAGTTTCTCAGAGAGAATGACAGAAGCTGTAAACTGTTATATGTTTCCGCCCAAGGTAGTGGCCACGCGTGATGAAGAACTTTCTTCACCGCTGGGGGCTATGGATTTATGCAAATATGAAGAAGGCAATTGCCATCTGCAAGATAACACACTGTTTTTGTAGACCCAGAGGAAACCCAAAAATGTGGTTTTATTAAATTTCAGAAATGATACGGGCACTTCATGGGTAATGTTTGGTTGACCAGTTCAAAAGAATTTGCTTTGTCATTCTCTGATCAGGCTGTCAAAATTAAAAATTGTGAGCGTGATCTCCTTAGTAATCACGCGTATGTGGTGTATGCACAGGATGTCAGTCCAGTATCCAGAGCGAAACGGGAGGTGGATGCTAAAACATTAGCAGGGATCGTCACGTCTAACTA